AAACAACGGGTAAGTTGCTGCTGAAGCCGTGTGAAACATCTCGGTCATGGGAATAAGAGGGTTGTTCGAGGGATTTTGGCAATTTGCCCCAAAGGGCCCACAGATTTTGTGCTCTTCACCTGTCCGATGCCACCCCAAATCAACCCGACCCCAAACAACGGATTTGTTTTAAAGGGCCCACAGAGTTTGTCCACCACAGGCTTCTTGTACCAATTTCACCGCACAGGATATGTGGCAAACCGCTGGGCCCGCTTAGAACCACTCCCCGCAGATTTTGGTGGTCCTCTTTGGATCTCCTTTTTACGCCCTGCGCATGAGGTGTAAGGCGGCGGTCTGGCGCAAGTGGTCTAGTGGCCTCGAGGAGGCCGTCCGTTGTGGCTTGATTTGTCTCGGAGTTGGAGGGAAGCATGGCTGTGGTGGGTGTGGTGGTCAAAACCGTTTTGGGATCCCATTTGGTTGGTAGGTGAATTGTGGTGCCCATGTTGGTTGGTAGGTGAATTCACCACCCATGTTAGGGGGAGGGGAAACCAAAATGGGTGTGGCTCAAAATGAGACAGGAGGGGAAAACCGCAGGTTTTGGTCCATGTTTCCACTTACCAGGGCAACCCATTTTGGCACCGGTTTTTTGAGCCACAGCCAAAGAAGGCAAGTTTTGGGGGCTCTCCCGAGCTGACATATACCCGAATGGAATCTCGCTGGTCCCCCCTTTCGACATTGGCATTTGACATTGGTCGCAGTATGATATCGAAAGGGGCAGGTACCGCGATGAACCACAGTGAGAGCAATGCCTCGTTTCGGTTTTCCTTTAAATCCAATGAAAAGACACACACGCCTTTTTCTTGGCAATGAGGCCGAAGCTCAAGGGGTTGCCAAATAGCCAGCGGGAAGGTGTTCCAGGAGTTTGTGGGTGACTGACAGGGGGAGGAATTCCAGAATGATGGCAGGGAAACCAAAACGCGAAGTCAATCAGTTTGGGATGCCTATTGTCAGCACCTGCAACATGAAAAGATTCAGCGCCAGGTAAGCGTGTTGGTGAACAGCACCATGGAGGCGCCCGCCTTTTTCAGGTCCTTCGCTCTTCCGGCTTCAGTCCTTCCACTTGCTTAAGTCTATGTTTCAATGTTCCCCCTTTGTTTGCAAAAGGGAATCGATTTCACTACTGGACATGTTTTCTCCATTTTTCCCGGGGGCTCAAAAAAAGCAAATGGAGGAATCTGGGCGGATCAGCCAAGACTTGGCTCCTTTTTGGATCAACATCCGCTGGCCTGCCACCGGCCTGCTGGCTCGCGTGATGAATGCCCCTTCCTCTGGCAAGCATATAGAATGTCATCGACACAGAAGAATGTCATCGACACACGAATGAAAATGACACGAAAATACAAATGAACATAAACTGAACAAAATACAATCTAAGGCTCCCCCCCGCTGGGAGTCTCTTAAATATAAGAGCCAACACACTGGATGGCTGGCTGATCATTCTGCAGCTGCAGCTGCTTCGGGTTTCTATGGGCCTTGTCATTGCGCGTTGCTGCTTCTCGGGGGGGGGGGGGGAAGGGGGGGGAAGGGGGGGGAGGGGGGGGGAGGGGGGGGGGGGGGAAGGGGGGGGGGAGGGTTCTTGCGGCTACTCTGTTGCTGTGGTAGTGCCGTTGCGTTGAACAACTTCACCGCTCAGTGAGCCGCTCAGGCTGATAGTTCATCCCAGCTCAGCTACGAGCAGGCAGATGGCAGGGACGGGGCATGTTGCTCTGAGAAGCACTTGCAGCTCAAGTATTTGGATTGCACAAACGATTCAGAACTGGCATAGAAATAGTTTGGCAGACATAGCACAGTGGCATGTCTTGCTTGTTTTAGGCAATCCAGGCGATTTTGGTTGTTTGAGTTTGAACGGGGGATACATTTCATGTTTGCCAGAGGCTGCGCGGCTGCTGGCTGAGCGGCAACTCGCCGCGTGCACCAGAGAGGCCTCCGGCATCCATTGGTTCGGGATGGTCACGGACCTTGGGCATGAACCATGAGCCACATAGAGTTTTGATCAATAGAGTTTTGACCATGGCTCTCACATGAAGTTACGGTCCGTTGCTATGGCGGGTGTGGGATGGCCTTCAAATAGAACACGTTTGAGAACGTAGTATGTTAGATGCAATCACTTGTAGGATGTGATGGCAAACTGTGTACCGCAAGCTGGGTACCGCCAACTTAAATGAAACCTGGCAAAGGACCCATGGCTTGTTGGATAGACCTTGCTGCATAAAATTCAATGCAGAGTTTGCACTGAAAGACTCCCTCAGTCTCGCCGCAGTTGACCAGGTGCCAAGGTATTTGTTTGCGTACGTCGCACAGGTTTTGACACAAGATATGGCCTTACATACTTTTACCCAGCTGTGTCTGGATACAGCCATGATTTCAAGGGAACAAACCCCAGCTATAGCAATGATGAAAACCAACTTACTGCGGGCTTGCTGGTTATACTCAACTGTCTGTTTTCGCCCATCATCGTTGCCAGGCCACAGCCGCTGATCTGGAGGCTCACGGCCAAGGTGGACCCGATCTCAGCTCAGCGATTTGGGGTAAAGCTCACCATGATGTAGGTTGTTTACTTGGGAGGTTTCGGCTCAGCTTTCACGTAGCGGCCCTGTTGGGGTAGTCCGCCACGAATGATCCATAACATTGACATGTTTTCACTTCTGGAACAATACGAGTGCCTTGATGTAAATCGCGCAATTAACGTTGCGGAATCGCCCCACGACTCCCTGTGGAATGGACGCATGCGCCGCTCAAACCCGCTGCTGGGCCAATTCACTTGAGTCAATCCGCTTGGGTGACTGCTATCCAGCCGTCCCTTAGCAAAGCGCACTTACGAATTGAGATGCGATAATTTCTGCAACATCATACTCGATTAAACGATGAGACTCACTCCAAAAGCACACTAGAAGTGTGATCGCTTCACAACCGACATGAGCCAGTCCGTCTCGGCTGCGGCGTGGGGCGGGCCGCCACAAGAAACATGGATGGTCCTTTGCTTGTTTGTTTTGGGCTAGCTTGAAGGCTTGCCGCGTTCAAGTTATGACGGCCAATTCGGTTGCAAATTGAGCCATAAACTGAGCCATGATACATTTCCCTTACTTTCAGATTCCTGACTTTTGTTTGTGAATTATAATTGTTTGCGCAGATACACTTCGAAACTGATTCTGAACTGCATCGGAGTCCTGATGAACTTGATTGCCCTGGAACCTGAGCTTTGGGGTCTTGGAGCCTTTAGGGTCTTTGGCAAACGTTACCAGAAGCGTTTTCGGCTGGATAACCCATGGGCGTCTTGTGCTGCCCACTTAAGAGATACCAGTGATCCGGAATCCGACAACCCCCTTCCATGGCTCACAGTTGGGAGAGGCTGGAAACTGATTGCAAGAAAATCCTCCAAATGTTGCGCGCAAAACAAACTGCAGAAAGCGCAAGCGGCTGAGAGTTGTTTTTTGATATTCGGCAGTTAGGCAAGACCCAGCCCTGTTGTTGTCCAGCGTCAATCCAGTGCCATCTATTTGTGAAAAGGACACCTAGGCTCATCTTCGATACTCCCCCCGACACCCGAGGTTTGAGCGACGCCGCTGTTGAGCGTCTTCTTGCGGATGCCTTGCAAGGCCAGTGCCACGCTTTCGCAAGGTTTGCAACAAGGAAAAAAGAAAAAGAAAACATGGACCCGGATTCCTCCCGAAGCAGGGTCCCTGGCATGGTCTTCCAGGGTCCATGTTTGGTGTTGGGTGGATCGACTGGGTCTCAGACGTCGGCAGTTGGATCAATCATGTCGGGTGGTGAGTTGGAGGCAGGGTTGATGCGGTGCTGCTTGTACATATACATATTAATATAGATATGTATTTGTGTTTATGTATTTATGTCACTGTTTTATCGTGTTTCTGCACATGTGGGTGCTCGCGCGTGTTTGTTTGGTGTTATTAAAGGATGGATGCTCAATTCAAGCAACCGAGTACTGGCCAAGCTTGGCAGTCGTACATTTGCATATTTTCATGTGTCTACCTTTTCCGTGGTCCGATCTTTGGTTGATTTGTTATGGCCCCCGCTTCATGTTTTTCCTTGTGCTTTGGATCGTGGGGCCATGGCCATGCAGTTGCAGAAGCTTGCTTGGGGCAAAGTTGACCTCGGATTAACAAACTTTGCAGATGAATCGGGGCGTGTCCCCAAAGTGAATGATTCCCTCTTAAATGGAACACCCCCCACTTTAGCCGGGTTTGTCCAGCTCTGTCACCTGTACATTCCTTGTTGTGACCTGCCGCCTGTCGGACGTGTTGTATGTATTGATGAATTGCTTCTCGGGAGAATGCAGTCGTTTGACGGCAGCACAGACCCGCAGGACGGACTATTGATGTAGTCTTGCGTTCTGGTTTCAAGCCCTTGGCACACACGAAGTCGGATTTGAGCTCCGAGCAAAAATGATGCCCAGGGTGTGTCAAGGTTGTTGCACGACTCACTGCGCGCATTTCACAAGCAGCGCTTTGATTTAGCGTTTTCCCGGTGACTTGCGGAGTACTGGCACAATTTCCCCATCCTCCACAATGTTTTCCGTCACTTTGCCTCGCTGCCCCCGCTTCAGGTTTGTCCCTCTGGGTTGGAGGATACCATGAGACTCGCTGAACTCAGGGGAAGTCGTGGCAGGTCCCGGCCTCGAGGACAAGGCCAGCTTGCCATCCAGGGAGATTTGGTAAGCAACCGGTTTTTTTCATGAGCGTGTGGCTGGGTGTGTTGGCCTGGCATCTGCAAATCCGCATCCCTGTTCATCCTGTACCTCCCGTCGAGCCGGCTCTCGAAAGTGAAGATGGACGCAGCCTGGCTCGGAGGGCGTGCTTCCCATAGATGCTAGCTGTGCACATGGGTGCTTCAGAGCTGGCAAAGGGGGGACCAAAGTGATGGTTTGACTGTTCAGTTAGGCTTGCATTGGCCTGGACATGTACCATGGCAGCAACACCAGCGCATATGATAGACATCCTCGGCGTGTTTGCACACTTGTCTTGCCAACAATTTCAGCCAGCCATGTACCTACAATGGAGGACGCTTGCTCTACTTGTGAATCCTTTGCGATTGCATAGTATGATCACAGCGAGAGAGAGAGAGAGACAGAGAGGGGCAGAGCGAGTGTTGATGGAAGCGGAGAGACATAAGAGCCCCAGCCGACAGTTGTGTTGCAGATTAGTTGTTTCATCCTGCTACGTGGGCAAAGACACTTGCCTTGTTTGCTCGCAAGCACAGGTTGTGTGTAGGCAAATGGCGCACACCACAAGGGTGTTCCGAACGGCTTCCGTTTGTGCTTCGCTGAGTCTCGCATGTGCTGTGAAAGCAATCGAGAAAGGCAGCCAAACAATTCGGGATCGCTGCTTCATGAATGATTGGCAGGTCTCGAGTTTGACTTGAGCCCTACATGGTCCACGATAGTTATTGGGCAGGCAGCGCTGCTGGTCACGTATTCAAGACCAGGGTTCTTCCAGTGGCTAATGCTCTTGCACATCTTCAACCCCTCATGGATACTGGAGGTGCGAAGCGTCTGAGCGCCTGAAGTTATAGACGCAAGGCCACTGCACACCACTTAAGTGTGCCAAGGGTTTGTGTGTAAATGGCGGTACCTCAAAATGGGTAGGCCCCTTGCTTGTCTTTGAACTAGAAGGAGGTTCCCTCACCCAGAATTAGATCTCAGATTCGTCTCACACACACTTGCAGGACCCCGCACCTCCACCCAGAGCGCCGCGTCAACATGAAGCAGGGGCCCAAGAGCTGTGGCCCATGACCCCGCGCCCTTGGTCCCATACTGAAATCTTCCTCCTTTCTCCAGCTTCAGCAGACTAAGCGACTAAGCTGGCGCATTGGAATGAGCAAGCCTGTGGTAGTTAGATCATAGGTATCCTTTGGCTTAGTTTGATTAAACATCGATGGCGCTGGATTAGATGGGTGTCATTCCATGTGCCAGGGCCATTTATTTTTCGAGAAAAAAACAAGAACCTATGGGTTGGATGGAACGAATCACCTGACTCTACAAGATGCCCGCAGCCCCTTGACCCTTCCGGGCGCCGGGTGCCCTGAGGTCCTGCCTCTTCACCGACGCAAGGGATTCGGGGCCTGAGCTGCTGGAATGCCAGGCGTGACTCGCAGTCGCGAACCTGCGAGGGAGGACCCCTGGGGGGGGGGCGGGGGATCCACATGGCTTGGTGCAAAGACCGGGGCAGACACCTTTCAAAAGGTGTTTGTGCACTTCAATGTGGGAGGGTGAGGAAGAAGCAAGGTATGAATAGTTATATAGTGCGGAATCTCCTCAAAACTGGCTTTTGGACATCAACTCCAACCTGAATGATGTCCACTCAAGGTCCCCAATTAAAGCTCACAACCACAATTCCTGGTGGTGTCTGCTGTTTGAAGAGCGAATGTAAAAATCAAGAGTCGGATTGTGTGTGGGGGCTTGTGGTGTGGGAGGTGTGGCTTGTGACTCCGCATGCACAACCACCTGATCTTCCTGTGCTGATTTCAGAGGTGTTGCCCGGCACATGTTCTTGGTATGGCAGGATGCGCGTTTCAGGAGTCATCAAGCTAGCTGCCTGCGTCCGGCGGAAAAGCCCACGACAAAGACGACTCATGCCACCCAGGAGACCCCTTCTGTTTGCTTCAGATTCACAGCGGACTTCCACAGTGTATTGACATGTTTCCCCAGCCCACGAAGGATCTTTTAAGACATGCTGTAAATTCTTGATACTCTTGTGAGTTTTCAGGTTGAGGCTTTCAGGTTTCGGGCTTCGGAAGGGGGGAGGTTCTGCCAAACGCACGCTTCAGAATTGGTGAGTATGTGTCACCAGGGCGTGTTGACACACATCTCCATGTCAGCGCCCTCCAAGGGGTCCCAGTAATGGGATTCACACACATACCACCTAAGACCTTGACAAAACCAGGTTTCCCAAGTGGGCATTTGGAGTAGGGAGTATTCCTGTGCAATGAAGGTGGATGTTTACCTGCCCAGCGGAGCTGGGTGCTCCATAGCAGTCTCACCGGAGACGCCCATCAGCGAGCTGAAGGCTGCAGCACAGCACAAGTTCCAGCGCCGTTTGAAGCTTACCGCGGAAGGCCGGCAGCTGGATTTGAAGGCCACGCTGAGTGAGGCCGGCTTGCGAGATAGGGATGTGTTGACTGCGGTCGTGCAGCTTGCCAATCTGGCTGCCACTGATAGGGCGTTTGCTTTTCATGGCCATGGGGGCGAGGTTGTGACCTGGGGTGATCCAGATTTTGGCGGAGACAGCAGCCAGGTGCAAGTGCAGCTGAGGAACGTCCAGCACATCCAAGCAACTGCCGGTGCTTTTGCTGCCATTCTTGATTCTGGGGCTGTTGTGACCTGGGGTGATCCAAACTCTGGCGGAGACAGCAGCCAGGTGCAAGAGCAACTGAGGAACGTCCAGCACATTCAAGCAACTCGCCGAGGTGCTTTTGCTGCCATTCTTGAGTCTGGGGCAGTTGTGACCTGGGGTAATCCAAAATTTGGCGGAGACAGCAGCCGGGTGCAAGAGCAGCTCAGGAACGTCCAGCACATCCAAGCAGCTGCGAATGGTGCTTTTGCTGCCATTCTTGAATCTGGGGCTGTTGTGACCTGGGGCAGTCCAAGGGCTGGCGGAGACAGCAGCCAGGTGCAAGAGCAGCTGAACAATGTCCAGCACATCCAAGCAACTAACCAAGCTTTTGCTGCCATTCTTGAATCCGGGGCTGTTGTGACCTGGGGTCATCCATGGGCTGGCGGAGACAGCAGCCAGGTGCAAGAGCAGCTGAAAACTGTCCAGCACATCCAAGCAACTGACCATGCTTTCGCTGCCATTCTTGAATCTGGGGCTGTTGTGACCTGGAGTCATCCAGAATACGGCGGAGACAGCAGCCAGGTGCAAGAGCAGCTGAAAAATGTCCAGAACATCCATTCAACTGACTTTGCTTTTGCTGCCATTCTTGAATGTGGGTCTGTTGTGGCCTGGGGATATCCAGAATTCGGCGGAGACAGCAGCCAGGTGCAAGAGCAGCTGAGGAACGTTCGGCACATCCAAGCAACTCACTATGCTTTTGCTGCCATTCTTGAAAGTGGGGCTGTTGTGACTTGGGGTGGTCGAGCACCTGGCGGAGACAGCCGCCAGGTGCAAGAGCAGCTGAGGAACGTCCAGCAAATCCAAGAAACTCGCGGTGCCTTTGCTGCCATTCTTGAATCTGGGGCTGTTGTGACCTGGGGTGATCCACACCATGGCGGAGACAGCAGCCAGGTGCAAGAGCAGCTGAGCCGTACTCTGGGGTTCTTGTAACATGGCGATGTTCAGTGCATGTGTCACGCTAAAGGCATGCGGGAAAAGGGGAACAACAAATCAAATTACACAGCTGCATTCGGCATGCAGAGTGTTGGTTTGGGCTGGTTATGGATCCTTGCTTATCATGGGTTGTGGGTAGTTTGGTGTGGATAATGACCTGAGAGACAGTTGGCTGGTCCGCTGTTTTTGGTAAATTGGAGTCCAAATTCAGCTGACATTTTTTGTGACTATGGACAGGAACAGTGGACGTTTGCACCTCATGCGGGCGAATCGGGTTCCTTTGCAATTGGGATGCATCCCCGCATCCCTTTGGTGGAGGGATTTGGGTTTGGCATCGTTTCAGGGGATTCGGACCCCAAGGATTCGGTTTTCCTTCTGTTTTCCCTTTAAGCACCACAAAAACGAGGGTCCCTTCGCACATCCAAATTTCAATCGTGACAATTGCCCTTGAAAGAAATATATTGCCAGTGCAAGAAATATTGCCAGGCATCTAAGGAACCAGTATCGTGCTCACTGGCCGTACAGGCCAACCCCCAAAGACCCCCCGAAGGGGCTGGGGGTTAAGGCCTACTGATCCATGGCCAAACTGTTTGGCACAGTTCAAATCCAAAATCTTGCCCAAAGCGAATCGACCTGTTGATCTTTTGGTTGCCTTTTGGGTTCCCACAATTCGTCTAGTTCCAAAAGGTTATAAAGCGCCGCTTATTTGACTCCCTTTGGGTCCCGAAAAATCCCCTCGGCGTCGTCTTCGCGCCGACTCGCGACGCGGCCTCGTATTCGAGGGGCTTTGTTTCTTTCCGGGACGAAACGTTTTTTCGCTCGGGAGGCACGAAGGATTCTCAGATTATCAGCATTCACCATGCCCAGTTGCCCAGTGGCGCCAGTGTTTTTTTTTTTTTTTGGGGGGGGGAAAAGGGTTCCCCTATAAAGTCAACCAACCGAAAACAGATGCCCTTTCTTTCCCATGGAAATCCACTGAGCATGTGTTTAGCTGTGTTTAGCTGTGTTTAGCTGTGTTTAGCTGTGTTTAGCTTGTGAGTTCTGCTCATTCGTCGCTTTTCGTTTGTTGCTCTGCCCACGGGTTGTAACCAAGGAACTGGTTACTTACCCTTTGAGGCCCCATTCAAATAGACATGGAATCGACATACCCATGTGGTAGGGGTCAGGGACGGCCCAGCTCGTAAGGATCCCGAATTCCCGAATCCGATTCGAGCGTCCGCGTGAGCATTTGGTGTCGAAGCCGTTGAACCACTCACGCCAGCCAGATCCACCCATAGGTAGCTCCGTGTAAAGAACTTATGAGTAACTTGCACGGACTTTGAACAGTGTATACCATATATGTGTATTTACACACACCAGCAATCATTATATTATATGCATTTGCGTGCACACACGGATACATAGTGAGCATACACGCAAAGTACGCAACATATATATATATATATATATATACGCACCCTACTTGAAATACCCGGAGGTATTTACCGTGAAAAACAGAGGTTTTCCAAAAAAGACACCTGAAAAAGCGGGTATTTAGAGTAAGGGGTATAGATAGATGTGTATATATATATATATATATATTCATGTGGATGTAGTCTATGCCAAGCTTTGCTGATGGGCGCGTTGAACTTGGAGGCCAGGGGTGTTTTTCGAGCCACCTCCAGAAGTGTTAGTTACATTCCCTCAGCGTTCAGGGCATGCCTCCATTACCTCTTCTTTGGTGCATTTGCCAAGGGCTGTTATTTATCATGTTTTTGCCAACTAATGGGTTTGTTTTCCGTACTAAACCACTAAAAGTTGAACTTTTAGCAGGGGAGCAGAAAGCAACCGAGATGGGAGACCAGTGTTTGTTGGCATTTGCGGGGGTTTCTTGGGTGGTGCAGGATTTCGTCCATCCACAGTATGAAGCTTCGAAACCGTTTTCTTTTTCCCACGCACTGCAGGTGCGTGGGTGGCGCACGACTGTGGTTACGGACCGCCACGCCCTGGCTGCGCACGAGTTTTGGCAGCTGGGATGCAACAATTTGGCCATGCTCGCCAAGAAAAAACAATTCTTTCAAGAACCAGTCTATGATGCACATCAACAATATGAGGTTCGCCCAAAACAATGGGAGCGACATGTAGGACTCTAGCGTTCTCTCTCTCTCTCGCTCTTTTTTTTCTTCTCTCGCTATTAATTTCCGCATACACTAGGATCAATTTAATTCCCATGTCCTGTATATAATTCATAATACCAGTACATGCTGACAGGTGGCTCACGTCATCATGTCCAACATTGCAAATTCGTGATCCGTGTTGCAAGGCTTAAAAAAACCTAAAAATACTAATTGTCATCATTTCTCACCTAGGAAAAAGGGGGCTATGTGCTGTGAGCGCAGTTGACTCCAGTGGCGTCCCGTTTCTTCGGCTCGGGGCTAAGCTGAGGTCATGGCCGGATCCGTGCAATTGGAAACCATGAGGGTTTTGTCTGGGCTCAAGGAAAAAGACAGGGACATGGTTTCAACTCTTTTTTTTGCCAGCTCGGGATGTGCGGTGTTTCTAATTGATGTGATTTGTCTGGGAGGCTCCAGGACATTTTCAACATTTCAACTCGACACTGGCAAAAAGGATCTGCCAGATTCCGCGAAGGGGCATCTGCAAATGATCGTACAGTGACGATCCGGATTGTCGGCTTCTCACTCTCCAGCTCGAGATGTGCGGTGTTTTTTCGAGTTGATGTGTTGCAAGTGAGGGGAATGATAAACAAAGCTTGAGTCATCCGACTGGTCCTGGCTGAATCCTGCTGGCTCTGCCTCAGATCCCAAAAGAAGGGCGACATGAAAGGCGCAAGGACGAAGACATAGGTTTTGCTGAGGTTTGCACCTCACCCCTTCCCACCTTTCTGAGGTTTCCCGCCAATGCAACTTTTGAGAGGAATTTGCAAGTGTGGCTGAGTTCTGTCTATGTCATATTGAATATTGCTAGTTTAAGTTTTGCCTTACACACCGTGAAGATCCAGAAACGAGGTGGCCTGGGCTCCGCGACTGTAGTTTTGAGTACTCCATTTTCTCATGCTCGTTGTCCTCGTTTGTGACTTGTATAAAAACCTTGGTCAAAGGGTTTACGTTGTATAAAGACTCGATTCTGACGAGTTCATCGGGTTTAAGGTCTAAGTTCAGTCTGATCTGACGTGAGACCACTATGTGATCTCTTCTCGCGTTTTCATTTAAGTGTAAGACACCCCGGATTGACCAACCTGGGTGAATACGGAGTCTTCCCCAAGCGTGAAGGATCTCGCCTTGAATGGGACCGGACCGCCCTGTTAATCTACTGGTCAACCAGGGGTTCAAGCAGCCTGCTTGCAGGCACCGGAAGACCGGCGGCTGCTGGATGGACCCACAGTGGCTGGAGGATGGCACCAGGCCCACGTGGTTTTAAGTCTCGAAAGAGGTTTCGGTTAGATGGCCGTGGGCCAACACCCATGGGATCCCATTTTGGGGTAGGTGAATTCACCACCCATTTTAGTCTCTTTTAGTGGGGATTGGTTGATGTTCACTAGGGAACGGGGTTTTGACCCATAGCCAGATCAGAAACAGCAAGAAGCTAGGGAAGCCGGCGATGCATGAAGATGGTGGGCGCCGGCAGGGGATGGCTTATGACTTAGCAGCGACCGCCGGAAACTGCCCGCATCCCACGCTCTTATCCAGTCCCTGCCTCTTTGATGATAAAAATGTAATAGTAATAATAACAAATAATAATAGTAATAGTAATAATGATGATAGTAATAGTAATACTAATAACAATAATAGTAATGATAGTAATAGTACTAGCAATAATAATAGTAATAGCAATGATAGTAGTAGTAATAGTAATACTAATAACAATAATAGTAATGATAGTAATAGTACTAGCAATAATAATTATTAAGAATAAAAATACATAATTAATAATAATCATTCTAATAATAATAACAATAATAACAATAACAATAATAATGACAATACACACTGGGGGACCCTTGAACGGATGAACGCTTGATGTTTTGGAGGTGACCGACTGCTCATGGCAAGTTGGTCGCAACTGACCCTTGCTTCAAGAGAACAGTCAAAGGAAACTTGTGTTGCGTGAGCGTGAACGCTTCAGAAAACTTCAACATGCAGTTTTTATTTATTTATTTTTTTTTTAATAGTGTGTTTGAGGTTACCTTTTCATGGCTCCCTCTTTGACACATTCCCGGGTTTGGACCTTCCAAACTGAGATGGAGCCAAAAAAACGGGCAGGTACAGCTCCTCTGGGCGCCTGCTGGCGGTGTGCGCTGTGCCGGCCGGGGGGTAGAGATCCATTGTCTACGGGTTGCTCCAGGATTGGGTGGCGAGGTCCCCACAGTAGTGCCCTTTTACCCTTTTTTGGGGGGTTGCCCTACTAAAATAGACTAGAGAAAAAGGGTACCCTTATTCTAGCCTCTCTACTGGAGGACCTTGGCACGGGCCTGCACCTCAATTAAAAATGATTACCAAAGGGTGGCACTGAAGTTAGAACACCAACACTGTTTGAAGGGATTTATCATTTAAAGTAGTTGGTTTAGTGATTGACCCTGCCCAGCTGTTGAAGTGCCCTGTGCACATTCCATTGAAGAGACGGGCTCCCCATTCATTGCTTTGCTGTTTCGTGGTGTCCCCAGATTCTTCGGGCCGTCCCCCGTTCTTTTGCGGATTGCCGGAGACGCACGCCGTCTGGCTCGGGGCCAGGGAAACACCAGAGCCCTAGGAAAGGGACTGTTGCAACGTAGGTCCCCCAGCTAGGTTCCCTTTCTCACCCTTTTTTGGCTGGGAGGGTTCCCGTACTAAGATAGACTACAGAAAAAAAGGTGCCCTTATTTTAACCCCACTGGAGGACCTAGTTTAGCATGCGTGTTGCCAAACCGTTCATTGTCATTGTTTGACGCATTTTATTTGAGTTGTTCCTGTCAGTGCTGTTGAGTCAATTTATGCCCTAGGATATATCTTTCGCAGGCTTAGCTCACCGGACAACCCCTAGGAAGTTTGGAATTCACCAGACTTGGTCAGCAGAAGCCAAAACACAACCCAAAGTTCCTAGAGATTCCACGTGGTATCTCTGTTGCAATTCTGTTACATGTTAGGGTTCACTAGTTGAGTATGGAGAGTCATCAAACATCATACTTTGAGTTGGGGTGTTTTCAGGTTTCCCACAAAAACCGTACGCAACACAATCCCGAATAGATCCGGCTTTGGATTGCCGTCCAGAGGGTGCGATTTTGTTGCCTTGTCTAGAAAGTTTGGAGGGAGTCTCAAGATGCACTTTTCTCCCCCCACCTTGGAATCGTCTCCACGTGATGCCAGGAAGCCCGAGACGAGTTGGCGCAGAAGCGGGTGCGCATTCGATTTGCTGCCGCAGATCAGGCAAGGGGCATGCGCACAGGTTGCCAAGTAGCAAACGATCGATGAGTTCTCCAAAGTATGCAGCAATAAATGACTGGTTTTCTAGTCTGTTCGCTGGGTGGTGCCATTGGGAAATTGCCAGTCACTATGACAAGACAACTCGCACCGGTGTGCTGGTTGGTTTAGAGTGCAGCAGAATATGTGTCTCTCCCTTTGGAGAAAAAGCTGGCATTAAATTATTCTGGAAGTTATCCTGGAACATCACATTTTCCTGTGAATGGTGCTGTGTTTTGTCTTTCCAGCGCACTCTGTAGTCAGCTTGCAGCTTGACGACCCCCCCAGCACAGGGCAGTGATGCGCGAGTTGAGGAGCTTGTAGGTCATGAACTTTTGCGTAGGTGGATTCAGCACCGCGTGCGTTCCTTTGCTTCGCAGGGCAGACGGACTCTTGGCTGTGTGTCGAAGGTCAAGAACCTCTTAGTGTGTTCCTGGTTTTGTGGAATTCAGCAAAGATGGCTTTGATCTTGGCACGATTTGGCAAGCCACCCGCTGATACCGCCCATTGGGAGCGGCAATTTCTGCAATGCAGGTGGCAGTCGTGGACTTTGAACCTTGGATCGGACAGCTTGGTTTCTGCCGGGCCGGAGGGGTTCGTTGCGGTGTGGAGCGGGGCTTTGCGGTTTGGAAGGAAGACAGAGAGACCTGATGTTGCCGAGCATCTGGGAGTTCACATTTGAGGTGGCTCTCAGCCTCTAACCCCAGTTGCCCAGAGCTGCCCTTTTTTCCTGCTTTTGGGAAGGGTTCCCATTTAAAGTCAACCAACCAAAGAAGCGGGACGGCCCGATTTTTGGCTCCGGCCAGGATGTGGGCTCCACTCACTCCAATTGGGGTGGGGTGAGCAATGTGGCGGAACCAAAGAAGGGCGCGCCCTTTTTTTTCCCATGACCACTCGGCATCGTGACAGCGGTTTGGTTTCTTTAGGTTTTCCTACCCGGGGCTGGTCGGTCTCCGCTGCGGGGGTCTTGAGCAGTGGATGCTCGGTGGCTCCTCCTGGTCATGGGGCTTCACCCATCCCAATGAGGTGCAAATGCGGGTTTGCCCACCCACCGTTTATAGATATATATATATATATATTTGTTTCTAGGGTCGGGTATGGTGGACCCTTAGAACTGTTCTATTTTTATTTTGACTTTTTATCGAGGGTCGGGTATGGTGGACCCTTAGGGCCTGTTTTGTAAGCTGTCTGTTTTGGGTACGTGATTTTGTCGGAGTGTTTGCAACATCGCCTCGTGTCCATCGAGGACGTCCCCTTGACTTGTCTCCCAGCCGAGGCTGTGGAGGAGCTGAGCAACACGGAGTTTGAGGTCCGCGTTCTGGAGGCCCTTTGTCCACTCCGGGCCTGATGGCAAGGGTCATGTACCTGCGTGCGCCAACCGTTTGTCAAAGTCGAGTGCCGCAGGAACACATTCGTTCCCCACTTAGCGGAAGTCCTTTCAGTGATAAACTAGCCTCGACATTCTCTGGCCAATCCAGTCAGGAAGTGAGTCGGAGATCAGCCAGTATTTCGGCTTCGGGGCACCTCAGCCAAGCTTTAGGAGGCAATACCCCCTTGTGGTTTTCAAGGAAAGCCAAAAGGGGACCACCCAGCTTTAGGGAGTCCGCCATTTTGGAGTGTCCTTTTTCAAGGGTACCCTTTTTCGGGTGAGTTCCCAAGGGAAGACCATATGGAAACCTTCATGTTTTGGGGTTCCAAAACAAAGATGTGGGTGTGGCTCAAAATTTGAAAATGAAACGATCGGAGGGGCAAACCGCAGGTTTTGGTACATGTTTCCACTTAGCAGGGCAACCCGTTCTACCGGTTTTTGGAGCCCCAGCCATGTCACACCCGTCGCAAAGACCTCAGGAGGCCAGAGGCCGCCGAGCCTTGCCAGATCGACTTGAAGACAAGGTGCGCGGGTTTCTTTTTCCCGGCCGGCCGCCGGTCAGTCTCTTTAGTTTGAGGCCGCAGGCTTTGATAGGTCACCTCGGATCGAATCGCTTGATTTATTTTTACAACTTGTATCGTAGCTTTGCAAAGAACATTTCCGTGGCCGGGTGCCATATCGGTTTGTAGGAACACTTGATGAATGAAACCACATGGCGATTCAACAGACTGACCACAGGTGGATAAGTGCGAGATTCGGACATTTTGCGAGGGATGAGAATGATACGTACCTTCGCGATGTTGGCACCGTGGCTATGTTGCTTATGCGGCAACTGGCTCAAATCAGGTCAGTGATGCTGGGGATGAGCCCCCCCGCGGCGTTAGTAAACAGTTGCGTGGCACCCTAGACTCCTTGGACAGCCCGTCACATCGAGCTTCCGACAACGCGGGCCTGCAAAGCAAACAAGTTCTGTGCATTTCCCTCGTAGAGTTGCAACGCTTTCCGCCTGCATGGGCAAAAGGGTGAGCGTTGAATTCTGTGCCTCTTGAAAGGCAACTTCCAGAACTAGAGCGCCTGATGAGAGATACGCAAGCCACAAAAGGCTTGAGCGCCTGAAACTCAAAGCACATTTGCTTTGCGCTTTGCTGGCGAGTTGATGTTTTGCTTTTTCCCAGGCAACGGGGAAGCAGAGGAATGCAACCAACTGAGGTGCACACAATCATCCCTTCCCCCACCCACGACCTGCAAAGTATGCTTCCCCGGGCTCGAATTTGTGGACTTCAGCAGCTGTGCCCATGTGAAAGGCGATGTGATTGCCGCCAACTTCCATTTAGTTTTGCGACCCCTGGAAAAAGTAAAGGTATATTTCCAGTAGTGAAATCGATTCCCTTTAACCACCAGGGGAAAAGGAAAAATATTATTGAGCAAATGGAAGCCAAGGGTCCTGTTGCCAGACGGCCAACGATTGTCAGGTGTACTTGTCGCCTACGGAGTACGCATCACTGCGGGACTGGCACCTGGCCGTTTGTCAAGCACCTTTTTTTTTACGTGCTTACTTGATATCTGTCTTTTGGGGATATGTGTTGTTTTGGCCGTAGCTCAAGATCCAGTGTAGTATAGAGGCCAGTAGTATTTGGTGGTTTACCTTTGCCAGGGCTTTGTTTGGTACAAGTGGACCTGTCGGCGGAAGAAGCACTTCAATGCTATACATGCAAAATAGCTCAGTGGTGAAGGTTGAGGGACAATCGAGTAATAACTTGTGTGTCCAATACATGTCATGTGGTGGGATACCCCCGTGTTGATGTAAGGATCAATGCCATGTTCAACAATTTTGAACATGTACTTAGCATGCAATTGAAACATTTGGCATTGAGCATGTGCTGAAACACCTTTATAGTGGGACATTTGTTTTCTCATCGTCACAGGTGCTGATGTTTGTTGCTTGCAAGTGGACTCTTACTTAGCCAAACCTGCACCGCCAAAGTTGTCAATCGGTTGTGAAGCTTGCACAGGTCCCGTTGTTAGCACCACGTAGGCTAGAAATACGTGCCAAGCACAGCGCATCGGAATGGAATATATTTGCCTTTGTTGCTTGGGATTCGGCAGGGCTTGGGAACATGATGCCCGTGTCCGGAAAGTTGGACAAGTTGATGAGGAGTGTTTCGCGCCTGCGCTTTTTGTTTGGGTCGGTGATTTCCACAAATCGTTTAACTCTCACAGGAGTCGCTGGTGGGCAGCCCTGCAGCAGTCGGCAGGTGGGAGTGCCCCTTAGGGAGCGGGCCGCTTTGCGAGAATTCAATTTGGTTGCTCGGTGTTTTGACTGGGTCCCCCAGCTCGGTGCCCTTTCTCACCCCTTTTTTGGTTGGGAGGGTTCAGACTACAGAACACAAGGGTACCCTTACTCTAACCTCAGAGGACCTAGTTGACTATTGGTTTGGTTTGCCTGGTTTTGGAGGGTATCATGTGGAGACAAGCACATGTGTTCTTTGTCACGTAGGCAACACACGCACGCAAAGAAGCATTTGTTTGCCTGGTTTCCTGCAGTAGTGAAACAGGTTGTTCAATCCTGGCCGACCTCACACTCATAGAATGCACCTCTTTGCTGGTAATGCTGGCGCAACCTGCATAGGGTGTCGGTGGCTTACTTGCAACTGGGTTTGCGTTATGTCGGCTTCTTTAGCCGCCGGAACCCACCCCTCTGCGCACATGAAACATCAAGGAGAGTGGCGCTTTACTAATTTATCACCTGACCTGCAGAGCTCCCAACAAGGGTCACCGATGAGATGACTTTCAACATGATCTTGCTTTGAGTATACAAGTGTCATTCAAACCAACGTGTCATTCGTGGCGTTCTGGGCCCGAGTGCAACCCGCAGCCGAGAGCCACTGCCGCCAAACCTAGGGTTTGAGAGAAACTGGGATGCGAATGCAGGCACTACGAAGGACATGTTACCCATCCACTTTTCCGCTTAGTTGTTTTTTTCCCCAACAGATGAAAGCTTTGGGGTCTCAGCCCACAAAGGATCCGGGCTGGTCCGGGGCGGCCCTGAGGTAAGGTTCCACGAGGGTTCCACGAGGGTTTGACGAGGTTCTACGAGGGCTGTGGGGTGGGCGAGCACTAAACAGAGCACCGCATGCTGTTGGGGATATCACCTGAGCTTATTGTGAAATCTTAGAAGCACCCTCAGTTAGGGACCCAACCGGATCGTGAGTCTCGCGGGTCTTGCAGAGGTTCTTGCTGCAGCAAAGTGTTTGTCTCAAAATCTCAAAAGAGGGGTCCCCTAAAGTGGTTGGTGTACTTTTGGTTTGATCCAAATCGCCCCCCCCCCCCTCCCCCACAAAAAAAACAATGCAACGTAGAGTCAAGCTTCGCCCCATTATGAAACAAAAGGCTTCGGTTGAATGCCTGTCGCTTTGTCTCCGGCTGCCAGGGTACGGACGCTTGACATCGTGGGTGGCTGGCCTGCAGCCGACATGAGGCAGCGCCTTTCTCAGCTAGCCGCAAGCTGGCAACGGGCGAGACAGTGAGACAGGGCGAACCGCGACCAGCTGAGCCACGATCAAAACCCGGGAGTAGATGAAGGTTAGTAGGGGACAATCCCAGCCATAAATAGTTGCGGATGTCAGAGGTTGTATTTCCTGAAGTATGGTTCTGGGTCAACCGTGTTGATACCGGGTTTTGAGCAAGTGACTCAGATGCTTGTGGCTTCGAAGTGGCGTCTCTCTCCTTGATTCCGCGGTCTTTGAGTCCTATGATGCCGGCTTGATGCCACGACTTTAACAGACTGCTATAGAAAGTAGACATCCAAGAGAAATCTACCCCAATTCCCCTCTGAACATCCTTGATTTGAGTGTGTTTTAGGGTGTGCTGTAGATTCACAAGTGAGCCATGAGAGTCGTTTGCCGATTTTGCTGGTGGCTTCACGCGACGCATTTTCCAAGGTGCGCCAGGCATGAGCTCAGCTTCCAGGCAAGGGTCGGAGTGGGTTTGGGGATGTGTCCGCTTGCGACTGGTGACGTTGTTTTTGGGTCGCTGGAGGGTGGAATCTGATACTTGTGTCAGTCGTTGCTTTCCAGAAGTCTAAAGGCAACAGTGCTCTGTTGCCCAGCGGTGCCCTTTCTTCCAACAAAAAAAGGGTTCCCTTTTTTCCCATGGAAATCTACTGGGCATCTGAGAGGGCACTCGATGGATTAATTGGCTGTGGTCACCTTCACCCGCAAGCCACAAGCCACCCGCAACCACCCCAACACCCTCGAACTGACCACCCAGACCACCCTCGACCTTCCACCTTGACGCGTCGCCTTGATGCGCCACCACTTGGCTTTTTTAGCTGTGTGTACTGTGCTGGCTTTTTGGCAGTGCCAGGAGCGCGAGCGCAAAGAGATCCAAGTCAGGAACATCCTGGCGCGCCAAGCGCGCCAAGCGCGCCGGGTGTGAAGTGGCCAAAGAGCCTCCAGGCTGTGCTCTGCAAGGTTTGAAGCTCGTGGGAACTGGTCTTGCGCAAGAAAGCGGGGACTACCAAGCTGGTGTTGCATGATCGCAACATGACATGCCTAGTGTTGCGTGCTCGCATTTGTGAACAGAGGCATGGAGTCCTGCTTGAAGCATGTGAACAAGGCAGCCCACTTTTTGCCGAAAGGCAGCTAGACACTCTGCAAGCTCCTGCACAAGATGTGCGAGCCAGCAGAGACCACTCGCCCGCAATCAGCGCGCGGAAGATGAAAACATCAAAATGATTGGCTAAATGAGTAGAAAGGGGATTGGGGCACTACAAAACAATTTGAGACGTAAACAGGATTCTTATGTTTGTTATCGTTTGAAGTTTGTTTCAATTTGCATCAGTGCGCTGCAGGAATATGCAGCGTGTCTTGGCAGCTGGGTCAGCCTGAATGTTGTGGATCAGCTGTAGCAATGGTTCTGTTGGGGGCGAGCTACACGGGCCTGGGCAATCAAGTTTGAGGGGAAGGTTGTGGCATACAGACCAAGGGGAATACCTATCTCAATAGTTCCTTCAGTCCATCGTGCTGAGGAAAGCGGGAGAGGGCCTTTCCCCGGCAGAGTCTGTTGAAAAAACATCGTCAGCCCATTCGAATTTTCAGCTAGTGGGACATGCAGGTCAATGAGTCGATGTCAACTTGTGTCAGGGCCTTTTATCTCTTGGCTCAGGCGAAAAGAATCATAAAGATGTTCATGAGTGTTACCAAAAAAAGCTGGCAACCCCCAAGAGGGGGCCTTGAGGGGCATCCCAGAGCGTTGACCCCACGCGCTGCCCTTGCAGGACAAGGAGCTCTTTGAGACGGCGCTGGAAGCCAGTGGGGAGGCGCCCTCTATCCTGGGCGTGCAGGTGGGCGGCACTTCGTCGAAGCGTCGCGGCTTCGTTTCGGGCCTTCGATGCGCGGCGAATAGATCAATAATATGTTAACTTAACCTGGAGGACTCCGGAGGACTAGAGTAGACGCAATTCGAGGATCCCTGCAAGATGAGTAGATTCTGGCCTCCGGAAGAAAACAACCACAAAAAGACAGCAACAAAGAACAGACAGCTTCAATGCCCATGGCTCTCGGGAAACCATGGGCTCACATCGTAAGTTGAGCTTTGCGAAGACTGGCAGCCATCCACATCCAGTTTGACATCATCTATGCTTCCCCTCAGGGCGGGTGGAGCCTCAGCAAAGTCGCCATGCTAAATAGTTACGCAACACTAGCGGCTGACAACTTTCCTTGTTCATTGCCAACCAGGCAAACGATACACAAGGCCCAAAACCAAACAACCTCATCGATAAACTGAATTCCTGCATAGATAGTCATTGGTTGTTTTTCTCGCCTTGCCCGCGCACTCCATATTGTGTCAATTCAGCAATGGATGTCACCGATTTCAGCTGGCCCGAAAACCTGCCCAAGGCTGGCTTTGGGCACGCGCGCTGGTAGACTCTTGAGATCTGACCCAAAGAGACTCGAGGGGTTAATACAAATCGCCTGATGCCAAGAACAAGTCCTCCAAAAGTCAAGCTGCGAAATCGCGGTTCCGGCGGTGTTCGGATTTTCGGGCCCCGAGGACTTGAAGATGTGAACTCACCGCCAAATGTATCCACGAGGCTAGACTTGTTTGTAGCTTTCCTAAAACGCGTGGGGGCGGTTTCATGGTTTCAGCGAACGTGTATGGTGGAATTCAACAAGTGGTACAGGACAATTCCAAAAGCTTTCAAATCTCATGCACGTGAAGACTCTTCGCTTTAGCCGGCAGTTTTCTGAACTTCGGTTGTACTGGCTGAAAAAGCATTTTGGTGCACCCTGAGGTGAACCGGGTGCCTGTTGCCTTGCAGCTGCTGTACATGGTTGCAGTGGCCCCTCGAACGGAGCAAGCGTCGGAAGGGTGTTGCCTGCTTGCTGTTGATTGGATGGCCACTCTGCTTGCTGGATTTGTGGTCATAGGTGTCCTTTTTGGTTGTTTTGCTAGAAAAATAGATGGCCCTGGTTTACCTGGTGGTTTCATCATCTACCAGGGCCATCTATTTCCCCTAAAAGGATACCTATGTTTGTGGTACTAGTCTGATTCAACCATGATTCACGACTCGACATGTTGAAACCGCCATCCTCTCCAGCAAGCTCTCACGCACGTCGATTGGATTTGTTCCAACGCCTTCCGAAGCTGTTGGGATGCTCAAAGTTCTGGGACACAGGTTGGTAATTAGTGAAAGTGGTTGAAACTGTTTGGGGTCTTTGGTGGTGTATTGTTTTAAACCATAAAGCGTCTTCTACTTTGGCTAACTCGTCTAGAGTTAGCGAATCGTATGGACAGGTTCTTTTGGGTTGGCTGGATACGTTTCTTTCGGGTGTCATTGAAAGGTCTCCATGTGACTCTGCGGTCGCGTGTTGTTTGGCCTGGACATCGAGGATTCAGACTGGAGGCCTCAGCCATGCCGCTTCGCAAGTCATACTGCACGAGGTGCACTTTGGGTAATCTAGGTCCCCCAGTGCCCTTCTCTACCGTTTCTTTTTTTGTTGATAGGGTTCCCCTACAAAAATAGACTACATAAAACAAATCGGGTACCCTTATTCTATCCTCTCTCTACTAGAGGACCTAGTAATGTCGGGCGTCAGTGGTTTTTTCTTTTTCTGCGGACGGGGCAAAGGGCTTTGAACATGCTCACCGAACTAGAGGCCTGTGTCCATCAGGAGATACTTGGTTCATTCCCAGGTGTTCAATATATGCCTCAAAACAAGGGTCCCCAGAGTTTCGCACACCTGTTGGATCTCCAAAGCTTCCAGTATGGAGAGCGCATTTGGGGACTCAGGAAAACTCGATGACGCTTAGTCTGTCAGTTTAGACTCGGAGGAGCCACGCCGTAATTTAAAGTCTTTTGGGAGTTTGCCCCACTGCACACTGGCGACCTTTCATTTGCAATGGTTCGGCATCCTACTGACGGGCAGCCTTCTTGGCATGCAATCCTGTCAACATTTGGCTGTGGGTAAAAAGTATGGTAACCCCAAAATGGAATACTGCGGAATACTGGTAAATGGGTTCCATGGGTACCAAAACCCTGCGGTCCGATTCATGGTTTCATTTTGACCCATTTCATCGGCCCAGGTGCTGGCTGTGAGCTACGTGGTGTATCTGGTGGTGCGCCAGCTCACCGCGCGAGACAAGGCGAGCGCAAGCGCGCGGATGGCCGTGGCTGCTCACGCGCTCCGGTTGCTGCAGGGCTCATTTTTTCTACATGTTTGTTTGTTTATTGTTATTAGTAGTATTATTAGTATTATTAGTATTATTAGTATTATTGTTATTATTAGTATTATTGTTATTATTATTATTATTGACATTTGGCAAATAAATGTGTAGCGGAGAAAGACGAATCTAGAAGTATCATTTTTGGAATATGGTAGAGTTTGGCCAAGGTGCGGGAGTGGAGGAGTAGGAGTAGGAGTAGGAGTAGGAGCAGGAGTAGGAGTAGGAGTAGGAGTAGGAGTAGGAGTTGGGTGGGGGGGGGAATAACTTCCCATAATTCGCCTACAAGCGAGCTGCTCCAGAAAGATGCAGATGACAGAGTCAGTCAGATATATAGATGCAGCAGATAGCCTTTCAGCGGGGCAGATGACAGATGCCAAAATCAGTCAGACACAGATTCACCAGTCAGATAGCCAGCCAGATGCACAGGAACCAGGCTCAAGCCCAACAAACATGAAACTCAGCCAAGTCCGCGCAGCATCTGCATTCCAGCCACGCACAGGCTTCCCCGCGATAGTTTCACCATATAGATGCGTTGCTAGCGGCCCCAAGAATGGTCAATAGCACTTCGCTCAGAGAGGCGTGAAAGAATTGCCCACGCATGAAGCTACAAATCTGCCAGACTAATTCTCTGGGGAGCAGTCAGACGAGTCACTCGCATCTGAGTTCCAATGGGCCTTGACGTGAAGCCAGAGGTTCCTTTCCAACGGAGCGTCCACATCACATCCATTATCTTAAGAACATTTTCTACATTCCCTTGCTGGTTTTGAAGGGAATCGATTTCACTACTGGAAGTATTTTCTTAAAAACAAATAAAACATCCAGGGGGCGAAAAAGTAAATGGAAGACAAAGAGCCTTCCAGGCGAAGGCTGAGAAGGCCGAGGAGAAGAAACGAGACAAGGCCCGATCCGAGCGATCTGGGTGAGCGAACCGCTTGCTGGTATGGGATGTGTCAAATGGAACTTGGGATTTCACTTTGGGTCTTCCTCTAAACCAAGGTGACACGGGTAACCCGTCAAAGGCGCGCAGATACGTAAGGCCGCGAAACCGCGCAGCTTTATGCACACCTTGAACCACGTTGGCGCACATAAACCGGTATCAAACCACGCCCAGCATGCCCAACCCGGCATATCTTGGCAAATTCTGTGTGACTTGTATTGCAACACTTGCACAGTTGACAGAATCTTACTTGTTGAAGGCACATCTTCAGCAGCGCCCAAAATCGGAGCGTTTGGCTGTGCGCCAATAGCTCCATTTGTTGCATGAAACCCCTGAACCAAGTTTTATTTGGCCCTGGAGACCAAGGCATTCGTGCCCAACTGCCGTCCTTGGCTGACAGGTGTTTGGTTTTCTTAGGACCGTGGAATTTTGGTCGGGTGAATGAAGTGCGTGGGCACTGCATTTTCGAGCGAGCGTCTTCGGCCAGGAAGCGAAGAGGAAGTGAGGTCGCTGGAGTTCGGGATGCCAATCCAGGCAAAAAAATGCGGCCGCGGCTGGTTACAGGACAGTGCATGGCACAAGTCCCCATGTTTTGGTTGAGTGCATTAAATGCCCATATACAGAGGATTGTGCCATCGACGTTCACCTTGGTGTAAACACGTTGTTGTTAATTCCTTGCCATGGAGGGGTGTGCCCTCGTGCAAAAAAAAGGCGGGTTGAGAGCATCGTCCAGGTTCATTGTTTGCCCTTTCGGTGGGTGAAGGTCTCCTGGCCCAGCGAATGATATGAAGCTTACCGGTAATGCGTAATGCCTTCGCGAACCAACCCCGGATGGATTAATGTCGATCCCAGTGGGGGTGTCCTCGGTTT